CCTAAACCCTAAACCCATCCCCCCCCCCCCCCCCCCCCCCACCAAAAAAAAAGGAAAACGCCTATGGAGCGGCCAAGGTCTTCGACCCAGGGTTGGCTCGGAACCTGGCAGAGGACAGGTTCAGTAAGACGGGGAGGGGAGGGGACCCTGGGATGTAACTCGGGCTTCATAGGGTTTGTGTTATACTGATGGAAAAGAAAATGGACACTACTACAGTTTATCGGGATTATGTAATGATAATGGAAAAGAGAATGGAAACTGCTGTCGCATGAAGGGTTTAGAAGTTTAGCGTCAGCGGGACTTCTTGAAGTAGCTTCAGAAAAAGGAAAACTACGGTTCCATATGGGTTATAGGGGATAATCTACTTACTAAGTCCCCCTGAACCCCCAAGTCTTGAGTTGCAACCATGAAGGAATGAAGCTGAGAGGTTACGACAGATTTAGGGTGAGGCTGTAAGAAGATTTTGGTAACTACGGCCGAAATTCGGCCTCCATCGAACCCAATGGGGGTCACCACAAGATGGCAATCCCAAGGGTGGGACCCGTACCTTCCTCGGAAACATCGGGACGAGGGCATCCTGAAATGTGTAAAGGTTTCAGGGTTTAGGGTTTTTCTGTCTGCTTTGTGACTTCACAACACCAACTGTGCCGAATGAACTGGCCTAAACAGGACTTTGGGGTATACTATGCTACCATCAGCTAAGGGTTATGAGGGAATGGTACCGGTACTTCTTCAGGTTTCCAGAGTATGTGGGCCGTAGATATGCTCCCCTCTGTCAGCAAACCCCCTTAAACCCTAAATCCTAGACCCTAAATCGCAGTTTCCAATTTTTTCGTTGTCTGTATATAACCCTATGTAATCCCTCTAAAACCCTAAATAACCCTTCGTAATTTGCATTTCTTTTCCATTATCCCGATAATCCAGCCTCCACCTGTTGAGGCTCCTCCGCATCCAAGGAATCTACCTCCTTTGCCATGGAGACTTCCTCTGGATCCTGACATCTGGCGTCAGGGTTTCGGGTTTAGCGTCGAATTGGGGGTGGAGGTTAGGGTAGGGTTTGGGGGCCAAGAACGGTTTGCGATTGACTTGGAAGGTTTCCTGGCCAATTATTGATATATTGCTGGCGCATGAAAGAACTGGGTATAACAGGTCATCCACCAACGCAAGCATTTGCAGCACTACAGCGCAGCATGGGGTTCTCCTGTTTAGGGAAACTAGAAGTTGCTTGTCAACACTGGCAACCAGAAAGATAGCGTTGTTGCGAGTCTGACCCACTTTGGAGCGGCTTTGGAGCAATTCTAGGGCCTTCATCCCCAAAACCTGAACCCCTAAACTACTAACCCCTAAGCCCATAAACCCTACAGACCCTGAACCCCTACGAACCACCAAGCCCTAGACTCCTAACCCTTTTTGCATCTGGACTCCGGCAGACTCTGTCACTCTGAAGCGCACCCCCCAGCATACGGCACTGCTGGCTCTATCCAGGAAATCTACAGAAACAACTTCACACAACAACACCACATGCCTGAAAGCAAATTGATGATGCAACTGCTGCCGAAGACTTGCGAACACCTGACCCCCGAACCCCTATAGTCCCTCTTAAGTAGAAAGAATATGGTGTATATGGGGATCATATTGTAATATACCAAAGCCATACTCAATCTACTTAAGGGGGACTATGCATCCTAAACCCTGTGGCTATGGCCTCGTCCTCCAGGCCAACCTCCGGCGGCGCTGGGACTACACCTGGGAGCCCGGCCACGGGCATTGGGAACCTGGCTTGCTTGAGAAGCCCAATGCCTTGGGTCCACCCATTTACAGTCTATAAGAAGGGTCATATTAAGGGCTCTATATACTTATATATTTACATATAATTCAACTGTTAATGAGTGGGGGCAGTACCCACCCAAGACCCCTTGAATGGTTTAGGTGGCTATCTGGGTTTTAGGAGCATAAGCTTGTAGCCCTGATTTCGGAGGATGGCTTACATCATACTAGTGATCCTAGAGTCATGTGCTGCATATTCCTCACTTAAGGCATGGGCTCGCTAGATTCTTGTCAGTCCCGGACTGCTGGTGTTTCAGGGGGAGTGGAATACAACATGGAGGCCACTATGATATTAAGGTTCAGGGTTTAGTAGGGAAAAAGGGCTTCGGGCTCAGCATTGGGGATTGAGCGTTCCGGGCTTGAGCTTTTGCAAGGGTAGAGAGTACAGCCCCCTACATGGGCCCTAAGCCTTTGCAAAGAGTGTATATATGTATAATGCAATAACAATAATATTAACCATGACAAAAGTATTAATAATACATACGCTAGATATCAGGATCCCAAGATTTAGGGCCCATGCTGGGAGCTCTAGGGCTTCAGTGCTCAAGCGTTTAGGGCGTTTAGTCTTAGAGTTTAGGGGCTTCCTGGTTTCGGGTCTGAGGGGTTGGAACATTATCTGCTCCAAAGAGGGGTCTGAATCATGATGAGTGGACCCACCTGCGCTGAGAATAGCACCCCTCTCCACAACAGTCGACGTTCCCCATGTAATACCAGCGAATGTCGACTAGAAACTGTTGTTACCAGGCCTGGGGGCTGGTTATGAGAGACAGCGGAGTAGCAAAGAAGAGAGGAGCGGGTCTTTGGTTTAAATCGCCATGTTGACCGATAACCCCTAGACAAGCATTTCTTTCACTTGCAACAAGCAAGAAGCAAGCTGGCCAAAACGTCCACTTCCAGACGTTTCACTACAGCAGAATGTTCAGAGATGGCGTGTGTAAGACCACCTACTGCAGGTCCTCATGCGGTAGTTCCACAACCAATGGGGACCCCAATATTATATGGACCCCAAACAATTTAATCCTGAATATGGGGACCCCTTATTATCGGAAAATCCCATGTGGATGCTCCATGTAGAACATGAACCACGAGAGGGATGCAGCACATTCTTAGACCCGCCCGTTCAACATGATAGAGCCTGGAGGCTTTTTTCTTTTCTCAAATTAGGATGCCCCACATAGCCCTCTAAGTCGTTCAGTCCTTATTCGATAATATTCTATAGCCTCAAAAAAGAGACATGGCTCTAAAACCTTGATCTGCTGAACCACGAGATTCACACACTCTCCTTATTTTCCCTCCAACTGTCGTGGTCATCCCTTTAAACCCCGAATTCGAGCGGATACTTCTCCTTCCCCACAGATGCACAAACCTCTTTTCCAAAATCCCTAAAGCTCCTAGTCCTAGGCGCCAATCTTTAGCACATCCTAACCCCAAGCGCTAACGGCTAAAACATGGACTTTCAAACAAAGTAAGTATCTTACAGAGCACTAGGCTATAGGGGATACGTTCGGGCGTTCCTGCCCCTAAACCCTTCAATCATAATAAACCCGGCACCCTAAGCCCCTAGACAGCTAGATAGTTTTGCGGCCCTCCAGCTAAGCCATGGAGCTCGTTCTGGACCACTTTCAAACGCTTCGGGCCATAAACCCCTGAGTTTTCCAAGTCTACGGTTGGGTTTAGGGCTAATAACATAACCATGCAGGGTTTTGATATCAACAAGCTTCCCGCCCACATCAACGTGGCCAATTCTCAGAGCTCTGGGCTCCTTGAGTGTACAAAGTATGACACGGCACGAAAAAGAAACTTGCCATTTCAAACAGCTCGTGGGCTGACGTTGAGGCTTGGGGGTTCCAGGGTCAAGAACAAGAAGCACCCCAGAGCATGCAAAAGTGATGAATGACTCGTCAGGCAAGCAAGACGCAAAAGGATTCATCGGGCAGGCCAAACGCCCATGCTTAAGCAGACGCACGGCGCGAATGAACTGCCCTCCAAGGCAGTACCTGCTTTGTTGCATCAACCCTAATTTCGTGTTGTATTCAGCCCTGACCACACCCTCAACTTGTTAAAGCCAAGTTTGTGGCGCTTCCTGGGGTGAGGGCTACTACCCCGAATAAAAGGAGAACCAAGTGGAACAAACCATGCAACATTAAATGGAAACTCGGGTGTGATGTTACGATTATATCCTTCGCATTATTCGTATACTACATCATATCATCTTTTTTCGGGGTGCCCCATCCAATCGCCCGTACAAACCTACTGCTTCCGGACCAGCAGCGGATGGTGACTTTGGATCGCTGCATCGGCCGGCCGGCTGCCTGCTTGTTTCAGGTATGGAATGGCTTGCCAAAATCGCGGGCCTTACTTGAGGACTGCGGTTTTACTTCAGATGCCAAGAATTTGGTGGGAGCGTCTGCATTTTACGAGGGAACCTCATGACAGAACTGCCTGAATCATCTGGACATTTGGTGACGAGAATTATCCCCACCACCCCGCGCTTTTTTAGTGCATCAGGCTACATCTTGGATGCTCATCTGATGACCTTTGACCCTGAAACCGACAGCCTGGGTGTAGGCTTTCGAGCTACCCGGAACCCCAAAGCCTAGACCATGTGCGAATACGATGCCATCGAGCCTTGGCGTTTAGCGCAGCAAAGGACACCGCCACCCATCCAAATCCTGATCCAGGCGGAACGTGCACACCCCTGTCAGTAGTTCGAAGGTAGATCCCGCTTTAAGGTTTCTACAAGTTACCCAATAAATATGTGGTATATGAGCTATAGTCAAAACTCCTAGTATCCCCCTTAATAACCCCTATAGTAGTTCTCTATATAATCCCCCATATAACCCCCCTTTAAGGAGTTTAGACTATGGCTCATATGGTACTTTTCCAGGCTTGATTCCGGATCATCTCGGGGCCCTGGGGACATGACATGACCCCGCTGCTTGATCTCATAGCACACACGGATCCTAAGGTGCCAGTAGTGTCCAGCACCAACTCGATACGGTGCCCGTTTGCAGCTGTAAGACACCTGGCTTTTGACAAGGGTAGGCATCCCCTGTTTTCTTTACAAGCTCTTCCCCTGAAATCAACCCCAATATAAAGACATGCATGTACTCTCTTCTTTCGCTGATCCTGCAATAACCCCATACCCTAAACCCTAAACCCTGATGGTTCCTGACCTTGCTTGCCCAAACGATGCCACATAGCTGCCTGTCAGGGAAATGTCGGACATGACATGGCCATCCATCGTGAGAGCGTCGGGGGTCTTGACATAGCCTCAGCTGGCCCCAAAGTGGACCTGTGTAAGGACAAACAGAGAACATCATTTGTTCAGCTCTTCCGACTTACATATTGCCAAATGGCGGTAAGTGCTATACCAAGCAGTAATACTGCCCAATGAACGTAAGTGCTATACAACGCAAACAAAATAATCCCTACCAATGCCATCAATCCTGCGAAGCCTGAAGCTCACATCTTGCCAAGGAGCAGAGCGATGCCAGGTCTAAACCTTTCAGTGGGCAGGGATAGTTTTAACGCCTTGCTAGCTGGGTCAATCCCTCACCCAGTACTGGGTACTACAGGGTATTAAGGCCCCATGAACTAAGTCTTAAGAAGCAATTACTCAGAGGGGATTGACCTAACCTTCTAGCTTATGATATCGAATTTCCCAACTGACCGCACACTCTGAATTTGAAGATTGCTAGTATTTCCCCCAACCCTGCCTTCTGGCGGGTCCGGATAGCCTCGCCCATCCTGCTTGCTGTCATATTCAAGGTCTAACAGCTAGGGTTTAGGGCTTAGGATTCGGAGTGTACAAGGGGCTCTGGGAAGCACACATACCTGGAACTCTGCGTTCGTGACATTTTCCTTAAAGAGGGGTGGATGAAGGGGGAGGTTCCTAAAACGGGGACCCCTAAACCCTGAGCCCGAAACTCGACACCCAGTACCGAAAGCCAAAACCCCTCTGAATCAAGAGCTGATTCTGCATCTAGAAGCTGCCCACGTGCAACGCTGAAAGCAATAAACCCTGTAAGCCTATAAGCCTTTCTACACCGTAAACCCCAAAGTCTACACCCGTTGAACTCAACCCTAAACCGACCTCGCCACCCTTGGGCACATTGGCTACGCAGCTAACCACCTCAGATGGAGCCACGAGCAAGAAGGAAGGGTTAAGGTTTGAGGCTAAAGGGGGGGTTCATGAGCGCAGGGCGTTCACACTGGGATGTTTGCTACACGCAGGAGTGTTTATACACACGGCGGCGTTCAAACCGGGACGTTGTAAACAAAAGGGCATTGCTAAATGCAAGGGCGTTTAAAACCACCGGAGCGTTCATTAACACAGGGGTGTTTACAGGGGTGCTTATACTGCAGTTTCCTTAGACCCATAATGAACATATGTTTGAATATTCACTTAGGGTTATACTATAATAGAAATTAGTAAGAATAATTCCTGAGGACAGTACAGTATACACACAGGGATGTCTATGACTACAGAACACCTTTTTTTTGCAGCACGTCGCTGTGCTGCTGCGGGAAATACATACATGGCCATATTCTACTGCGTAGTGGCAAACAAGGAACTTGGGCATGAAAAGCCCAAACCCCACACCAACCTCTTCTGTCAATCAAAAACGCTACCTTGAAAAATATTGGGCTATCCTGGGTCAATTCCTTAACCTTACACACCTGCGCTTCAGGATTTCTTTCATGGGACCTTCTCTCCATGGCATGAATCCCTCAAGATGCCCTTGGGATTGGGGTTTAGGGGGCAGAGATCAACATCGCCTGCATCTGCATGCAAGGCACCAGGTTGTGTACGCCAACGAAGGACAGTTGGAGCTGGGCGCTCACGGGCGGGAACACCTGTGCCAGGCTGAATAGAAGGGTTTTATGACTCTAGGGAATATAGGGACTAGTGGAAAAGAAGATGGAAACGATTATATTAGCATATTAGGTTTGATGTTTGGGGGGTTTGATATGGGAATTTCTCTGGAACAGGGCGCCTGTAGGGGCCCCAAGGCTGTAAAGGGATGATAAGGAAATTATGGGGGCGAAAGACTCATATGACCTATTGTCTAAGTCCTGGTATCCCCCCTGAAAACCATTACAATACTACCCTAGACAATCCCCGTTTACCGAGTTTCCCTGTCTGATAACACTACATTCCTTATTAGGGACCCAAAATAAATACCCTGAAACCTTAATACCTATCAATTCCATTCCGACGATTCCTAAACCTATAGGAAGCTTGACTCTTGCCCCGCTGAAACATTGAACATTTTCCTAGACTCTACAACCCGTCTCCCGAAAATCGGAGCTCACGCTGAGTTTCCGAAAACTGGGGGGTCCCTCTTTAGGGTTCCTGATGATGTCAATTAATATATTGAGATCAAGATTGGCGTCCCCCTACGTATGGAAACTCCGTACTGGGTTCTTGGGAGTTTCTGAAATTTATGAATCCTTCGTCAGGTGGTAGCAGGGACCAGGATCACGGTTTAGGGCATTTAGGGTCTAGCGCTCGATCGAGGACCCCATGTTCTTTCGAGAAATATGCATTTCTAACAGTCAGTCTCCCTTATGTATCCAAAGTACTCGTCCTCTGATTACCCCAAATGCAGGGCTGGCCTCAATAGCCACCACCGGCTCGCGATTGGGAAAGCCCCAGAGATAGCGCACCGGCCGGTCCAGCCACTGCCTATCCGCCCGCGCACCCACCCCCAGACTTGCTGACTCTGTACTGCCGCAACAACATCTCAAGCACATGTGTGGCCTTTCTAACAGTCCCCGTCTCGCTGAAAGACACAAGCGCAACCAATCCCTGAAATGCCTGATTGCAGAAAAGGCGCTTCAGATTCTCAGGAGTCACCTCCTCGCCGCTGGCCTGCCGTTTTTCTTCCACACGGGCTTCTATCATTGCAGTCCGCAGTGCAGGTCATGGAGGGACGGCTACCAGCCGATCGTGCCCTTGCGTAGACCTGGGGAAGGAACTTGCCTAGCAGCCGGCTACGGTAACAGCCGGCTTGTCAGGGCGTAGCCGCTTGGCCAAGGGCAAAGAGCAGCGGATACCTCTGATCTTTTGATGAAGAAAGATGTATACTGCAACAGCAACCTGTTTATGGCCAACCCCCAAATCCACACCTTCTTTGTCTAGACGCCGAAAAGTCAATCCTCACGGCCATTCTGTCAGTGATTTTGTTTTGTTACTTGGGGTATACTCCAATGGTGGAAGCTACCATGTAAGCAGGGGCCATGGAAGAGATGAAACAGCTCTGACGATGCCTTGAGCTCTTGCAAGACGTCCCTTCCGGGATTCACGGTCTGCACTCCGAATTTCCTTTGCAAAGGGCGTGGCTTCGGAAGGGGCTGTGCCAAACTGGCAAGCTCCATAAACATGTTGGCTTCTCTGATTCTTTAGGTTTCTGTGTAGGCAATTGGGGTGTTCTGGCTGAATGGATGAATGTGCGAACTATAAGCCTCGCTTTGCAATATTTAGTACAAATGCAAGTGTGGCGAAAAAGAAGACGTTGTCATGGTGGTCGTCATCATCATCATCATCATCATGACAGCAGCGGCGTTGGCGGTGATTATAGAAGCAGCAGTAGCGGTCGTTGCGGTCGTTCTCGCAGGAGATCGAGGAGAAGCAGCAGGAGGACCAGCGGGGCGGGAGGAAGAAGGGCAGTAGGAATGGCAAATGAGGAGGAGGAACAAGATAACACCAGCGACAACAAGAAGACATGCAAGAAAGATCCACAAACATAGAGCATCAGGGACAATTGATGACTGCTAGAGGGGGATCTCGGGGCCTCGTCGGCTGAACATAGTTGTACTCCTCGATATCCACCAGGTTCTGCAAGCTGTTGGGCTGATGCACTCCTGGAGCTGGGATGAAGAGTTTAGGGCTTAGGGTGCAGGAGTTGGATGTGCCTTAGAATGCGCCACTACAAGGACAGACCTTTTCATTGAACTAGAAAGGCACTACGCCTTTCTACAATTAACTTGCAGGTTGACTTGCAGAATCCCACACGACTCTGGCATAATGCACTGCAGGGAACAAGTATACAGGGTCATACCGGACGTAGCCCTCCAATAGCATTGAAGCTGGGAAGGCTACGGAGATGTCGAGGGCTCCGAAGTGTAGAGATGGATTCATGTCCTTCTGATAATGGAGAAACAATGGGGTTTCCGCAAAGTGGGGGACCTTCTTGGGGGCACCTAAAATTTAGGGTCCATATATTGGGGCCCCACATTTACGGAAACTGCCAAATGCAAATTGAAATGAGAACGGATGTATAGGGATTACTTCACGCTAAATAGAAAGCCTCGTTTTCACTACGAAGCGAGGGGATGACGTTGGGTCACCTACCCTATCCAAGGGCTCCTATGTAGTTCCCTTTTGGGTTTGTTATGGTTTCTGGGTAGGGGATGATCATACGGTACCCAAAAAGGAACTACATAGGAAGGTCTGCGCATGCAACAAATGCTGATGCGAAAGGAACTTTGGGTGGTGCAGGATTTCTTTCGCCAACGAGTCCCTTAACAGCAACCCGAGTTCAGGATGCACTGCATACCCAAAATCTGGGTAACTTAATTTAAGTCCCATTACAGCAACCCAGTTTAAGGTGTAGGGCATCTCATGTTCTATTATTCCCGCGATCCCCGTGTTCCAACATCTTGGTAGAGGCTCCAAGCACCTACTCCAAGATCTTCAGAGACCCAGGGATAGGAAAATCAGCGTTTTTTCCGGGCCTTTTTCATCCCGCCAATCCAGGTAGGAATGCTATCAAGCAAGGCCATGGCGGAGCAGCACTTCAACTCCCAGGTTTAGGGCTAAGGGTTTTTTCCCTCCAGCTTGGCTGTGACGCATGCAGGGAAAACTGGATCCGAAAGCAAGTTGGCTCAGCTCAAACATGAACGTGTCGAAAGCCGAAGGAAATACTATGAAACAGGCACCCCACAGAATTTAGATAACAAAGTAGATAACCGGGCTAAGGGTTTAGGGTCTGAGTTGAAACCATGGGCCCCTAGCATGGGCCCTTAACCCTGGGATCCTACTACATACCCTTTATGTACCCTTAAGGGTCCCTAGAATCCACCTAAATAGGCCGAAGGGCCCATATCAGGGGCCCATATCCCTAACCTTGGAATCAGACTCTGACTCTGGCTTCTTTCTCCTATCCGCCTTCGCTACCCTACACCCTGAACCCTACCCTAAATACTATGGAGAACTTGGAACCCTAGTAAAAATGAT